TTATCTTTTCAGAGGTTTTACCAGTATATAAGGAACAAAAAGGGAGGGCCCAGTGTGTAGCAGAGTTAATGTGTGGCTAAAAGAGTGGTGTAAAAGACCACCAAGGTTCCTTCCAATTCTGCTATTGTATTGTATTGTATAAATCAGAGCACACTTAAACACCAATTGTTAGGAACAACAATGGAAAAGGTATACTTGTTTGTGAAAATGCTGATTGCACTCAGATTCCACAGTCCATCATCCACAAAATGCTGGATTAGATGAACCGATGGCTCATTTCCACAGAATCCTCCTTCTGTTTCTATGCTCTTATTGCAGAGAAAAATTAAGCAGGACAAAGGACAATTCCTTTTCATAATACAATGTACTTTTGTGTATTTGGAAGAGCCTTTACCAACCAAATGGCCCCCTGGTGTTTCTGTCTACAAATCTTAACATTCTCAGCCAGAAGGGTAATGAAATTTTTATCAAGAGGTTGCTTTTTCATAATGTTGACATATAATTCTAATTGAAAAACTAAGACAATTATAAATGACAGTAAAATGAGTTCCCAAGGGATAAGACTCACTTCCTCCAGTTGGCTCTGAAATTTCTGAAAATTTTAAATCTCTATATTCATCAGTGCCCTGTAATTTTGCAACTGGACACATTTGATGGTCTCAGCTAGGAAATACTGTTCTTCTCAGAGATCAATACGTCTCTGTTTCACAAGAAGTTTGCGTTTTGAAACTGTTCCATCTGTTTTGGTAGCAGTTCCATTTAATCCATGAAAATAATACTTGGCATGAAACAAATGTTACTCTTTCAGCCTCAATAAAAATTGCCCAATTTAACCAAACTTGTCTAAGCTTTGCTACTGACATAGCACATTTTAAAACCAAATTGCAATGGAGAAAAGCTTGTGAACTTAAATTACAGAATTACAACCTAATTAGTCCAATATGCCAGAGAGTCTCTTTTGGATGAGTCTGTCACTTAATTCTTTTTGTCAGATTGCAAATTCATGTATACGGTTTATATTTATGTAGTTTACATTCAAGGAGAAGTAAATTATTTTACAAATGTGCTGTTACAAGGGTTATCTTAACTGATATTTAAGAACCCTGAAATCTCTGATATTAGCTTCCTGTCTTTCAAAGAACACTTGATACAATGCCAGATATGTTTTGCTTAGATTAATATTTTTCTGAAGGTACACTTTTATAACTGTTAAAATAAAAATGATCTTAAGCCTGGATTCATACGTTTAAAATCCTTCTGGATGGAATGGTTCACCAACAAATGCACGCTCAACAAAAGTGCGACCGACAAAACCATGGCAAGAAAACTGCAAGTTCTAAACAGTGCCGACAAATGAGCGCAGAAGCGCGCCAACAACAGCGCGCCGACAACAGCACGCCGACAAATGTGCGCCTTCAACAAACAAGTAATAACCGCGAGTTCTAAACCTAACCCTAAACCTAACCCTAAACCTAACCCTAAATCTAACCCTAAACCTAACCCTAAACCTAATCCTAAACCTAACCCTAAACCTAACTCTAAACCTAACCCTTACCTTAACTGAAATCACGCTTTTGTGGGCGCAGTTTTGTTGGCGCGTTGTTGTGGGCGCGTTTATGATGTCGTGGCTTTTATCACCGCAGTTTCATCAATGCACTTTTGTCGTGCGTGCATTTGTCGGGTCATGGGATGGAATGACCCTGTTATGGGACAAGGAATGTAATGAACTGGGTAGTAGATGCCAAATACTATCAAGAAATATAAGTATCTAAATTCCCAAACAGGCTCTATTCTTTCTGAGGAAAAAAAATAAAAGATGAACTACTCTGATCATTTCTTTTGCCATCATATATGCTGTGAACATGTAGGCTTTAGTGATGTAGCATATTATATTCCTTAAAATTTCCAAATTTCACTATCATACTGTAATTGATTTTTCTCTGAACTAGCACTTCTTGTTTTAATTGGAAGTGAAACTCCCAGAATACCCAGCAGCATGGATCCTGGGGCAGGCTGGGAATTTGGGGAATTGTAGGACCCAGAACATCTGGAGTGTGTCAGATTGTGGAAGGCTGCTATAATCATTTGCTTTACTGAGATATAGGAGCCATATGTCCAATTTCACAGAAAATAGCCTTCCAGCTTCACGGCAGCTAAAGAACAATATTCCATTTGAAAATGCTGTATATTTGTATTCAATCTGATTTTAAAATAAATAATCCTGAAAAGGGACAGGAGAAATATTGAAGTTGTCTACCAAGTGACAGATTAAGGGCCAGAATGCAAGCTGTCTGACCAGTTTCTCCAACAATAGTGAGATTTTTTTTAAATTATGCCAAGTTATAAATATCTTTGCTTATAATTAACAGAGATAATTTTATTGCAATTTATCTCAATGATTTTATCCATGCCTCTGTAACCACTCTTTGCTTGAGTTAAGGATGTGACCAGATTTTGCAATCCATAGTATTTATTCACCAACTCCTTAAATATTTCAAATTTTGTCACATGATGTATACTCTACAGAAAACCTAGCCAAGTAAAGCTTTTTTTTTTTTTTGCAATTAGCAGTTTAATACACAAAGAGGAAACATTGCCTTTAAATACATATAGCCTTGTCTCTAATGATGTACTAAGGCAGGGGTGTCAAATTCCCGTCCCACCAGCCGGATGCATCACACGCTGGCCACGCCCATACCCAGTTTAGCGAAGGGGATACAGTCCTGATATGTCATGTGATGCCACCGTGATGATGTGAGTTTGACACCCCTGCATTAAGGCATCAAGAAACTAACAAAGATTTATCTTTGTGGCCAATTCCTTGGCAACTTTTGGGGCCAACATACTAAATTAGGAATCTAAAAACAAAAAGTCTGTTCGGGACTAACGTTGTAAAAAGAGCAAACACATATGTAATTCAAACTACATATTCTTTTGCAACAAGGGACTGAAAAT